CTTGGCTTGCTCCACGCAGCTCTGACACTGGGTGCCACTGCCAGGCGCACAGGACCAGGCCTGCTATCGCACAGGTGGTGATCAAAACCACAGCTCTCTGGTGAATTTTCCACTGGTGTCATCAACAGTTTTGGTATGTATTGGTCCTTTTTCCCAGGTGGTTTCTGGGCGATGCCACAAAGTGTGGATGATGGTTGGTAAAAACCATCACCAAATATAGACAAAATGGCTATGCGGCTATGTATATATATATATAGTATGCTACAGTATTGCTTTATAGGACTGCTTCTTGAACCGGTTGCTGGTAATCGGACACGCCCGAGGCATTCCTCCCAATTTATTTCATACACCACGTGTGACAACACGCAGTACGGCGGTCCGAATTGAGATCCGGTTTAGCAGCGATGAGATCATTCGATCAACAACTTGGTGACTCCAAAACCTGAAAATGGCCACCAATTTAGCAACCTGAAACCTGAAATGTTTGGAGAAACCCATCACCATGGCGCCAATCAGAATGCTCTGCTGGATAGATCGGATAGATAGGTTCACGAAGTCCCATGATAGGTGACACCTGGATGCGTTCACGGGTCACCAAAACACACCCTCACGGTCTCTTCACCCCTTTCCACCACCCTCCCCCGCCCTTCGGACACATGTGCACTCCAACATCAACCCCCCAAAAAATCGACCGCGCTCTGAAATGGGGTCGTTTCGCACCTGGCAACCACCATCGAAGAAGGGGCTTCCAATCTTGGCCGTGACGGTGCCGAAGTAGCCTGACCACGAGTTCGGCTCGGTCGAAGTTCGGCTCAGGCGGTCGGCGGGTGAGAGGGCAGAAACGGGGGGAAACGATGGCTGCGCAGCAAAGAGCTGCGGAGTGGATGATCAATCTAGCATCAAACATGTCTCCAAAGGACAAGCTATAGAGCCACACAAGTGCACCTGCACTTCAGAAATTGAAGGTTTAAGAACCCTTATTGACCAAGCAGCATGCCTCAGCATGCCTCAGCATGCCTCAGGGAACAAACTGAGGCAAAAAATGTTCCTCCCACGCACAAAACAAGAGCTATCTCCAAAATGAATTCTTTACATCGCGTCCTTGGGCCCATGACAGAAAATAGATGAAAACTGTCACGTTGTGTTGCCATCAACTCTGGGTAACTCCAAGCTGATGCATGATCTCACAGGGCCACAGCAAGTGACCCGAAATACACATGCTGTGAAAAAAAATTCGGGTGGCCTAATTGAAAATGAACCGCACTTCCTGCGTGCGACCTAACAAACAACAAATATCAACAAGTCAAATCTAGACGATACTAAACACACTAAGCGTGAGACATGTGAGCCAATGAACGAGGAAACTCAAAACTCGCATCGTCCCAACCTGGAACGCTAAATTTTGTGAATATAATTAATTTAGTAAGTTTAGTACCGTAAATGTTTTCTAGCCGGAAACCGTTGAAAACAGCAAAACAGTGGGTGACCTGAGGGTGTCAAAGGGGGCGGGCACAGCCAATCCGTCCGTCATTGGTCCACCAAAAAATTGCACAAACACAATCAGCTCAAAAGTCAAGAGTCTGGATTGCAAAACACACCTTTGGCGTCCTTTGGCAAGATTTGCTTCTGTTTTGTGGACACGAGTGGGGGCCCAAACGGCTACAAGCCAAACATTTTTCAGCTGTCTGAAAATCAACACAGCATCACAGCATCTAAATTCACTCACCGGTGCTGCGATTCTTCTGCTTGGTTTGGTTTTCTCCGTTTTAACCATTCCAAGCGCTGATAGGGTCATGGTCCATGGTTGCAAACACATATTGCCGCATCTGGCAAGATTTGTTTCGTTTGCGGGCACGAGCCAAGGCCCACGGCCCATGTCATGTGGCTGCAGCTACAGTTGCAGCACAGCTTTCAGCAGGCTTGAAAACCCACATAGCACCATCATATCAAATGATGTATATAACTTCACGCGCCAGTGCAGTGCGGCCAGTGCAGTTCCTGTGCTTTGCGTTCTCGACGTCGATAACTGCAAGTGCTGATAGATGTCACATCTGCAATCAATTGCATATGGCATTCAATTATTTGCGGTCAGTCCTTGGAAGCAACCAAGGTGGTTGCCCCTTGGACTAGACTAAACATGGACATGAACGAAGTGTCTCTGGTACAGGTTGCACTGCCACCAGGAGAAGCAAAGGCGTTGGCAATCTAGTTTCCAGCCAATCAACACACTGCTTGCAATGCAGCCCAAGCCCCGGCCCCGACATTGATTTCACAAAGACATGCAGCGGACATCGGACCTGTGGCGTGAACTAGTGCTATCGCAAATCTGAAGTGCCACAGCCTCCAGGAATAGAGCAATGTCCTGAGTCCGGGCAATAAGCATACAACGATTGTATAGATTCTGAAATCTATGGTTCTTACGGTGCCCTAGACTGACTTTGACCTTTGATCTTCACACTTAGGATCCCGCAGCCACTCTAGCTTTGCGAGAGACCGTAAAAGCAGGATTGATTTGCGCAGTGGTCGGTGGCCTTCGTAGCTACCCCTGGTTCACCAAACAGGTTAAAATTCGAGGCTTTGGGTTGGCGCCTTTACGACATGTTCCTTGAGAAATGATGGTTCGATGTCATTGGTTGGTCAGTCGGTCGTCTAGATTGCAGCACCTCCGTCCCAAGAACACACAGAACAGACCTGACTCTTTCCAACGCACTACTGGCTTAACCGCTCATCAGCAATCGCTTCACTGCTACGTGCATTCAACATGTCAGGCTTGCTCTGTGCTTCCTTGAAATGATCTCTTTGGGTGATTTGGGTGTTGTGCACTTCTCAAACTGCGTAATTAAAAGTGCTTCACTTGAATCTCGCTGCGGCTGCACCCATCCCCAGGCTGAAGTAAGCACATGATTGGTGTGATTGCGCAAGGAAGACATCAGTGATTCTGCTTGCTCATGGCCAAGAGCCTGAATCACAGCGACGGCTGGCAAACATCGGCATCAATTGCCGCTCTCGGGGCCTGGATGTGATTTTTGACTGGAACGGAAAGAGGAACTATGAGGCAAGGAACTAATCGAAAAGCCCGTTCTGGAACCTCTCGCACATTTCCAGCATTTCCGGAATCCTGTGATCAGCAAGCTTCAATCCGGGCAATGCAATGACCTCCTCTTCGGCTTTCTCGTCAGCAGCACATGAAGCTGGAGGGCCACTTCCAAGATAGTTGCTGGCCCTCCCCTTTTTCCACCGCCGCTGTTCCATGGGTTCATGAGCAAACTACAGTACACCATACTGCGAGCATGATATGGTAGCACATCCAAACATTGCATCTTTTAGGCAAGGCATAGTTTGCATCAGTGCAACCAGTGATAATTTTCATTGAGAGCAAAGGCTTCATGAAGGACGCACGTGTTGCTGTACAAGACCAACATGTTTGGGAGCCGCAACTGCAGGTCAGCACAAGATTAAACAACTCCTTCGCAAGCATGAAATTCAATGATTTCCGGACCCTGTCCAACAATTTGGTTACGGTTTGTCAATGTGAAAAATATCCTGTAACTGTAACTGTGTGTCCTTTTAATCCACCTGAGTGTGCCCAAGGGGATTTGAACCCTTTTTCACTGAATTAGATCTATTACAAAATTGGGCAGCCTGGAAAGCTCCTGTAACCCTTCAGGATTGCCCCCATCGCTTTGCTTCAACCCTCAAAATGGTCGCACCCATGTCAACCAAAGACAAGATCGACCATCAATGGTGGCCTGGATTGCACGTGCAGCCACTGACGAGATCAGTACCGCTTGAGTGATCCCTCAGCGCAGCGAGGCAGTTGTGCCAAACCCCGAGGTCAGTGCATCCTACAAACAATCCGTCTAAACAATCCCTCTGTTTTTGTTTGCGGACTATATATTCCGTCCAATGGATCAACCATGATTCATGATCACCCTCTACTAAAATAAGACTTGAGTCTTGAGGTCCTAACCTTCCTAACTTTCTGGTCCTATGCAATCCACTCTTTCATTCTCTGTCATTATCTTGCTCATCTTGCATCTTTCCAGTGGAACCACTGCATCCTAGCTTGGCTTGGCCCTCATGGCTGCTGGTTGAAATCTTGAGAACAAGTCTCCCGTCCATGGACCCTTGTTGCCCACAGTAAAGTTCAAGACCTACCCAACGTGGGCGTTTTCGTCGGTGCCTCCCTTTGCCTTCGGAGTCCTTTTCGCCAGACTGGGGGACGTGTGACAAAGATCAAGTGAAAACGCCTGCCCCCACAAAGAAGGACCCAAATAGCGGTTTCATGCCATTTCCCATCTTCGATCTTCTCACAGAGGACAGAATAGATCCTGCTAGGATCGTACTAATGAAGTGCCGATCTACAAATGTGTTTTCCGTCATTTCTTTGTCTTCGGGAGCAATTGCAAAAACATCACAAAGAATTTACTAGTTACTAGTAGTTGGGTGGCACTCATCACAGTTAACGGACTGAATGAGTAACTGAGAGGGATTTTCAATCTTTCCCTAGAAGATTCCGTAGTTCTGGTGGAGGAGCTGAGGCTGAGGAGCTTGTCCAAAAAATCATCCTCCATGACCTGCCTCCCACGCCCCTCCAAGGTGACCGACGGGCAGGCTGCTGGGCTGCACTTGCCAGTGAAGCCTTGCCTTAGCACAGACCGGACGAACTAGTGACTAGCGGCAATCGGTTTGCAAATGTTCACTCCCTTTTTCATCCCAATTTCCTCGAATTTGATGATGAATGCATCATCCCATGGACTCATGCACCCCTTGTCACGGAACCAACCGCATCGGGAGGCCCCTCTCGAGATTCGAAGTGCTCCACCCCAACAGTTCGATCCTGAAAATTGTTTGAAATCATTTGAACTGTTGAACTGTCGAATCATCTGTCAAATCATTTGAATCTCACATCATCTCAGCAAAACTGTTCGACATTCTTCGACAATCATCGCTTCTCCCCGGTTCAACCTGGCACCGAGCACACCGAGCGCACGCCTCTTTTCTGCGGACACCCGGCAGCCTTTGTGCGGGGACACCCGGGGATCCGAAGCTGGGCAGTCGCGCCCAGCTTCAGCTGGGCAGTCCGGCGGCCTGCGGCTCCCGTTTTAAGGATGTTCTTGGTCGCTGCCAAGCTATCTACATCTATCTAACTAGGAAGACGGGCTAAGATGATTTGGCCAGCAAGTTGTAAGGAGACCATTGGCTAGACTGATAGGAATAAAGTTAAACGAAGCCTTGTTCAAGATCTTCGCTTCCCTCTGTCGTAATGTGCACATAATTATTGATGCTTCTCGGCGATGCTTCTCGTTGACCGGATGAGCGAAGAAGGCGTTCGTGAGATCAGATCAATGGTCAAAAATAGACATCATGTTGAGTCTTGGACATTCTTGGACTCTTCATTAACCAAAAACATTTGGATGGTATCTTTACAAACGGAAGGGGGTGAAGTGCGTATGCAGTATATGTGTATATACTTTTTGTTCTGTATTATCACAATATATCATCAAGACATATCAAGACTCTCTATTGCAAGTAAGGTGGTGATGAAGCACCGCCCAAAAAAAACTGTCTTCCCATGGAATCCTGTATGGAGCCTATTGAATCCAGTAGACTCCCAGACCCCAACACTCACCCACTCGCCGCGCCTTGCCGCGCCTAGCCTTGAGGACCTCCAAAGCGATAGCCCAGGCAGGTGATCCAGACCGACAGCACAAAGCCCAGCACAAAGATGAGACCGGCCTTATCACCCGCACCTGAAAAAAGAAGGATGCGATCGGCTTGAGAGCGAAGGTTTTGGATGGAGGTCGAGTGGAACCTGCAAAAGGGGTGGTGGGTTTCAGGGAGAATATGTTGGAGGAATCAATCTACGTTTGGAGTGTGAATAGTTGCTGGCAATGGTGGGAACATGATGATCCTTTTCCTTTATTCTTTCCACAAGCGGCCTTCTGTAGTGTCTGTTGTGTAGTGAACTCAGGCCAGTTGGCAACTAGAATTCCTCCACTCACACAACCAGTCAAAAGAGAGACTAGTGGTAGGATCACAGATGCTGTGTGTACAGCGGCTGTGATTCACTCAAAGTGGGGCACAAAGAGAGGCTCTATGCGGGAAATGGCCCTGCCAAATCACGAGCATAACACACCGGCCAACTGCATGTGAGCCGGTTCAATTGTTCATCCACTAAAACAGCAGTGTCATGAGGCCATCCAAACAAGAAACAAGACATCGGTTTGAACAAACCCACTCGTGGCCGGGTTTGACTGCTCAGTTCCGACAGTGATATTTAAGCAGGAACAGGAACATAAAAACCAAGCGCCGCCAAATCTTGTTTCCTTTTATAGAAAACTCACCCAGCAGTTTGCAGATTTTCCGGCGCCTTTGAATGCCTCCGGCAGCATGGCAGTCGAGACCATCGCCAGCATCGCACCACCTCTTTGGGTCACCATCTCGACCGAACAGGCGACCCGGGCGGCTCCCCGGGCGGCTCGGGTGGTCTCCAACGGTCGTGCGCCGGAGGACAAGCCGCTGTATCATGAATCATGTACTATAATATATAGGATAATATAACTACATGTCACATGTGTTCGAAATATATCTTTGATTGCCGTTTTAAAGCTGAGCTGCCACCAAAACGGTCGAAAACGATCCAACACCGGGCCGGTGCGAGGGAGGTGATCGGTGATCTTCCGCGGTCTTGGAATCGGTCGTGAGTCGTGCCGTCGAAGCATCGCTTGGAAGTCCTCCCGCGCACTGAGTTGTTTTGGAGTGCGATCCCATGGGAAGACGAACGATGCGAAGCAGGGCGCATCATGAACATCAAAAGGCACAGAAAACGACGTTTCCCGATCATGGCAAGCGCTGGCCCAGTGTTGTTCCATGGGGGGGAGCTGTGTACCTGTGTGCACCTGGCACTTGCCTCACTCATGTGCCAAACACTACCGCAACACGCTTCTCCGGGCAGACCATCCTCCCTATTATTTATCTGCTACAATCTGCTTTATCTGCTACAATCTGCTTTATATTAAATTAATATATACAATACCTCTCAATCCCCAAGGCCCTAAGGCAAAAAAGAAAAGACATACGCACACCCGCGCACGCACACACATAGTCACACACTCACACCTTCAGGAAGAAACCCCAACCGCCTGTGATGCCCTCCATCAAGGCCGTCGCCTTATCCCGCTTCCGCGCCAGGTCCGAGCCCCGTGCCTCGGCCGCTCGAAGACTGAAGACCGGCACCGCGGAGCGGAGCATCGACCCTGACTTCAGCGTGAACATGGTACCATCCCTGAATCAAGAAGACTCGACCTTCAAAGCCGGAGGATCAGAGATGGGTTTGAAGGTACCAAGGGGGGGTATATATATAAAGGAAAATGCGGTCGCCAGCAAAGACTTTGGCATGTGCGGGGTGGTCAAAGGAACTGGATGAGTTGGTGACTGTACACTGTTCACATCTGTTCACTGATCTGCAATCTGCAAGAAGAAGACCCTGCTCTTTCTCGCAATCCACCAGTCCCGCACACTCAGAGTGGCTATGGCGTTAGCCCCCGTGGGTTTGTCATGTGCATTCAGGCACCAAATGGGGCACACTGTAGCCGGTGTAGACGGTGAAGAGAAGAAACGCACCACGTTCATCCACCACACGGGTGAACGCTCGCAATTGGGCCGATGCGACACGGACGACGCGGGTCGAAAACGGGCCGAGTAGCCACCTGGATCAAGCTCAGAAGCGATGCGACATGAACCAGTTACGTCACATCTCTCATCATTGTCAGGGTGTCGAATCACGATTCTTGAGGAAAGATAGGAATGGTTCCTCTTGGTTTTTGTATGATTTCCTGAAGTGTTGGCCATGGCTGTGCACACATACACTCTGCCAAAATGCATGAATATCAAATACAGGGGGTTGCGCGGGAACTCCTTTACAATAACCTCTTGAAAATTATGCAGTTACTTCAAAGCTCTTCGTTTGGTTCGGCAAAGGGAAGGACAAGAGTGACTGGACAACAAACCGCCAATGGTCTTACATGCATGACGAAGAGCTTTCCCTTTGTTTCTTCAGGTGGTGTGGACGGGCTGTTTCATCGGTCAAACCGAGGGGCCACGTTGCTGGGCATCATGAGGGAGCCCAACATCGCAAGCACACCAGTGAGCAAGAAGAGCACCACCCACATCAGCAAAATCCTCTGCAAAGACTACACTACACTGACTCCAATCTCAAAAACTCCCATGCAATGGGACAGAATGGGAAATATATGCAAATATACAAAATATAAGTCGATCCTGGCGCTGTGTAAGGACTACTATTGTCCTCCTCTGTCATGGCTCGCCAAAAAGTCACGATCGGGGACCCAGCATCCTGGAGACCGGCATCTTCTGACCCAGCAGCAGGCTGGAGCCACTGAAGGCTTCGGGAAAGTTGGCGATGAAAATCGCCACGAGGAAGGCGAAGGACACCTGAGACAGGCACGACCGCTCCGGTGGATCCGGTGTTGCACCGCTCCGGTGTTGCACGTGCTTCCATTGTTGGACCGGAACTTGGATCCCTTGTAACCACCAATGGTGGTCAGCTGTAGCTCTTCCAGTATGCGTTTCAAGGGTTCTTGCGTTGAACAACAAAGGCCTCCCTACATCTGGAAAGAAAGCCAGCACCTTGGTAGAAGGAACGGTCAACATCTATCAACTGGGTCTATCCTAATACCAGTAACAGTGGATAACGATGGTTAGTAAAAACCTTGAACAATAGTGATATTTGTTTATATTTGTTCACTGGCTGTTAGTAAGTAAGTTCGGACAGACCCAATCTATCAACTATAACTCTGGAGTGAGTCTTCCCCTGGACCCCAAATGCCCTCAAACAAACTATATATAAATGCTACTGTTTGGGGGGTAACCATGGGTAGCCCCCACCCCGGCTCGGCCCCTTCGCACCGCGCACGGCGAGGCGCGGAGTGGTTGGTTGGTGCCCTCCTCCCCTCCTCGCCCCTCCCTTGCCGTCCGCGTCACGGCACCCTCATTGGTCATAAAGCCCAACCTTACGGAACGGCTCACTTAAACACTTTGTCACCTGGACATCCAATCCAATGCTTGCAGACTCGCAACATATGGAAACCATAGATATGTGCCTCTGGTTCCTGGAGTGGAACCCGGATCGAAACTATTGGTCCAGTAAATCCATTGAATTCATGTCACTGCCAACCAATTTGAGACCGCTGGCCTTGCCCTTAGGAGTTGAAGCACCCCTGCAGAGTTCTTTTCATCACCCCGGAAGCCACTACGTATATAAGCGGGCGTGGACGGTTATCCAAGTCACACGGTTTCATGCAATTATGCCGTTATTCCCAAGGCTAAAATCTGTAGGGGACTGACCAAGCACGCCTGCAGGCAGGCCGAATCTCCTTTGGCCATTACAAGAGGAATTATGCCCCTCTTGCTCCAGGGCGTGCCGACTGCCCCTCTTGGAAATGCTTGAAATTGCCAAGAGACTCCTCGAGGGAGTCCCGTCCACTCGATGGAAGGGATACTTAACCACCAGATCTCGCGGCCTGTGTGTCCCCTTTTGGGGGGTTGACGCGAAAAACATGAATAGATCATCGGCGAATAAATCTGTCTGTCAGCAAGCCTTCTCACTTCAAAGAACTCTACATGACACAGTTCTGGAACACGGGCAACTTTCTTCAAGGCAAATTCAATCCGCAAGCCTAGAAGAACAAATTGCTAAGGACTGTGAAGTTGTGAATGTACGTAGTGCATGGTGGGGGCTGTCTTAAAAAGGGCAAAATCATGCAGAATCGAATTTATTAGTATTCCTTAGTTAGTTACTTGTTGTTAGTAGTTGAAACAATGACGCTCATTCAGCACCACAACTGCAGCAAGTACAGCAAATTGGGATGAAAACGTAAGTACGAACAACATGAAAGCCCGACACCTGCCGTATGCACTGTGCGAGCCAAATTCCCCCCAAAAGAACTTGAGGTATAACAAAATCCTGCGTCTAATCAACATGCGCTCGGGTGCTCTCTGTCATCTATCCTTCCACCTCAAGCCCGTTGGCGCCCCCCTGCACCCGATTCCCGACCGTGCCACCCGGAACGCCGGTACGCGCGCCGGTACGCCGGTACGTGGTCGCCGGGGGGCATCAAGGCCTCGGGAATGCCATCCAACATCATGCCCAACCACCTAGAGGCTGTGGCGTCGAAACACCACCGACGGGTCTGGGGGGTGGCGACCGGGAGCCGTGCGAGCTGGGGAGGGTGGGGTGTGTGTGTGTGTGTGTGCATTTTTGGCGCGATGTTTGGTGGGCTCGGAAGCGAGCATCGAAGGGTTGGTGGGGAGGTTTGTCTCGCCCTGGGAGAGAGTAAGGCATGGATGGGGTTCTACAAACAAACTAGAGAATGTGGAAGACTTGGGGCTCTGGGTGGAGTATTTAAAATGAGACAATATGAGGGAATCGCGATTTCTCGCCTTCATATCTTCCCATCATCCCTAGGTTTTGAAAGTGTCAGTGGCAACTTCGTGGCAACCATGAGGTGGAGGCACCCAACAATACCCTTGCTTCGCCGTCGGCCAAAGAGCATGTCCGTTGCTTCGAGACGAGGTCTGAGGACCAAATCCTGCACCACTGGAAGAACCACCCTTCTTTTTGCCCTCACGTTCCCCCTTTAATCATTGAGTCGAGGAAATGTGTCAAACTGAAAAAATGTTGAATGGCCATGACCGAAATCCTGTATGACACATACCAAACTCAAAACAACATTGATTGAGTTGGCCGAAGCCCTCGATGCCGAAGCCCTCGATCCTGTTGGATCTGTTTGACCAATTTCATTGTGTCTCTGACTCTGCCTTTGCCCTCTCCAAGGCGCATGGAGAGCGCCACCTGTGCTGAGCCCATGGTTGCTGCCTCCTCCTCTTCCTCCAGCAAAGTCGAGGCCCGCCTGGATGGATGCGACCCGATTCGATCGAAACGGATCGGGAGAACCCGATGTCTCCGTGTCACGGAGCGCAGAGGTTCTCCTTCGTTCCACGAGTCCGTTCAAGGAGAGGTCTGCATGATGGGTGGGTCATGATGCTTCGCTCGGGGATCGATCGAAGGAGCCTGGTGAAAATTCGACCGATCATCACCCATTCAGGAAGTGACTCACTTTCACAAAGCTGCTGTAAGATGCTGTAAGGTCTGTAAGTGTGAATGTAAATGTGCCCAGCACTTGCGCCCCACTTGCTGTGCCTGTGACCCCGTTTAGTCTCCCCCGTGAAAGGACCTCCAACATGAGGAAGTTCGGTGGCCCCACCTAGCTCACAGAAGCTGGGAGCTTTTCCGAAGTCTGGAGGAAACAAGAGTGCCACACCCCGACGCTTTGCGAATATACAACCGACTGGCAGACTGGCCGGACAAAAGTTGCGCCTCTTGAAGTTCAAACATGAATACAGCTCTTTCACTCTCGAATCCTGGGTCCTAGGTCCATGGATTCGACGTGCACACGGTGTGCACACGGTGTGTGTTTGAGACCGTCCCAGGCCCGGAGGATGGTCGCAGCTTGCCGCGGGCATATGAACTAAACATGTCTAAACAACTTGAGCAATGTACATATCAATGATCAGTAATGAGTAATGAGGAAAACTCATCGCGATCTTCTTTACAGATTACCTGCCATAAACGCAGGCATTGCATGGCTTGAACTGTTGAAGCACTCACACTGCCTGCAAGCAACACCAAAAGTTTCGAATTCGCGACAAATGTACAAAGGTTGCATCAGCAACGAGCAACACCTACTGGCTCAGCCGGTTCCTTTCCCATCTTTCCCTCTGAAACATGGGGCGACAGTCTCCTGGTGTCGGAGTAGCTGCCCACATCATCGCCAGCCATGGCGCCGGGCCCAGCGCCGACCCCAGCGCCGACCCCAGCGTCGACGCCAGCCTCGCGGACCAAAGTGCCGAGGTCCGGCGCGGCCGCCGCCGCGGCCGCCGTGCCAAGCAACGAAGGAGCGCACGTCACGGGGCAAGATCTCCTGTTGAATCTCATCATCCCGGCCCTCAAATTCCTCAGGTCCTTCGGTGACATAGCGGTAAGGAACCCAAACCCATTCCATTGGTTCTGGACCTTCCCCCACAGCGTCATCCTCCCACTCATCCAGCGGCTCCACTGGAAGGCGAGTGCCATCAGCGTCCTTCTCACGAGTGCCATCCGCTGGAACCTCCTTTTCCGGAACTCCGATGTCATTGGGCACGTCTGGATCCTTCGGTGGATCCATCGTCTGGACCATACTCGGTGTCTGAACTCCGTACTCGGTGTCTTTGGTTGGATCGTTCGCGCGTGAACCCGCAGCCGTGTCTCTCTCCCTGGAGTCAGCTGGTAGGTCGGCTGTGCTGGCGTTTGACTCAGGTTTCTTGGCTCCGCGAAGCTGCTTCTCTACATCTTGGCTCTGTACCTGAATGCATGTGAGCGCCAGAACTAGCGCGAGGGATGAGAGCCTCATAAGGAGAATGCACCAAGTGAGGAATTGTTTTCTAATGGTCAAGAGACTCTTTGAGCCAGTCTTGCTCTCATCAGATTGGGACGGTCCATGGCACCAGTCTGGTCCGAATCGTCGACCCTGTTTGACCGGTCATGGACCGCGGCCTCAGACTGAGTGTCATCGAAGAGGTGCCCATCGACGCCACGCCCAGCTCGAGGCCACCTGTGGGGTCTCCAAGGATGGTTCAATGGGCTTATGGTATCTTATGGTTCAGTTGATTGCTTGTTGGAATCTGTTTGATGTGTTTTTGCCCTAGATTGGGTGGTGCTGACAGTCCTGAAGCCACACAGGTTGCCTTGTGTGGACTGAAGACAAAAACTGATCAAATCCTCTTCAAGAAGTTTGTCCAATGCAACCAGAAGACCAAGACTTCGTGCGCCTTCAAAATTGTCGTTCAATGTAGACATGAAAGAATCAAATGTCTCATGCAATGGCCTCTATTCTTGGAACGAATGACTGACATGCGCTACCGTGCTTGAGATTGCAACCTCGCTAGTATTGGAATCCTGCACTGACGGAAGGTCCAACATCTGTACTGTGACCGACGGTGCATCCATGGTTGTGGTGGAAAAGCTCAATTTGTCAGAATTGTCTGCCGTGGTTGGTCTGCAGTGAAGAACCCAGAAGGCCTCATTCCAAGGATGATCAAACGGACCATCCTCCCTACCTCTGTGTGTTCTCACCTCGGGTTCAAGTCGCACCCAGGAGACTCTCTTGACCCATCGGGAGGATGGACCTACCTCCTCTGTGGGGAGGATAGAGACAATCCTCTGAGGTAGGTCTCGCTACTTGGGTCCATCCTCCCCCCGATCTCCCGTGCCTCTCGCCGTCTCCTGCGCGCCTTCCTCGATCGTCCGCAAGCCCCGCTGCTGCTCCTGCGGCCTGGACCTGTTCTCCTCGCAGCGGAGCACATTCGGTTGCATCTTGGGAAAACCGACACAGGAAGTCGGGAGGAGCTGTTGGGGAGGCTGTTCAAGCAAACGCCTTGGCAGATCTGGGTCTTTGGATCACAGTTGGGACTTGGAGGATTGCAAGGATTTGAGGAGTTGTGGCCGCGAAGTTCTTCCCCTCGTCCATCCATTTTGTTGACCATGCTGCCATGCTACACTGAAGTTCCAGATTGAACCGTACCAAGTAATGTATCAAGTAAATACTTGAGGGTCTGCGAGTTCTTGACTGTATAGTTTGCTGTAAAATCAAAAGGAAACAGGACACATTACAAAGGAACTGCATATAGCATAGGTCCCACTGATTTCTCTCACCACATGCTGCAAACTCCAGCCAACAGGCTCCAGCCAGCGGTTCAGCAGGAGGTACATCATTGCACCGACCATCGCTCCAAAGATCCTTAGAGTCCAAGCATGAGAAGGAACAATGATGACTCAAACAACACATAGCTGTGGGTCATAGCACCAGAAGACCTTGGGCACGACCTACCCGGACCAGGGCTCCAGGTTTTGAATCATCCCCACATCACTGGGAAGTTGTTTGCCTCCCAAAAGGGGCAACAAATGAGGCAGCAGAGCATCCTGGCCTAGCCACAGTGTCTGGTGTTTAAAACCGATGTTTTGTCCCTGCTATAAGGTAGATGGTGCGAACACAACCACTCTGTCGAACCCTTCTGGGGAATTTTGGATTCCCGAAGAAGTTGCCTGTTCTTGCTTCATAGAGCCTTGTCATCCTTCTTAGACACTTGCACTCACCTCACCCCACCCCTCTATGCCCCGCCTCCCACACCAATCCCCTCCTCCAGTTTCCTCCCACACCAACCCCAAGCGGCTGGAGGATGTTGTTCACGCACAGCTCCTTACAGCGCTCGCCGCAGCCCGCTTCGCCCGTCGGGTGGATCCAGGTCGAGGCGTCCAGGCGGAAGAGCGACTCGCCGAAGAGCTGCGTCGCCTCGTGCAGCGGCGTCTCGGGCGTCGTGGCGGGGCGGAGGCGGGTGGCATCATCGACCTTTTCACCGGTGGAGGAGAGGAGTTGGTGATTTTGGGACGGTGGAAGAGTGGAGGGGGAGTGGAGAGCTGTGTTGGTGGCTTTGCTGGTGTTGGTGCGTTGTTCCTCTTCTTGTTTCTGGTGTTGTTGCTGCATTGCTGTTAGATAGTGTTTGTATAAGAAACATGTGTGCGTACAGGGTTTGCCTTTTCGATGGGTGCAGCTAGCAGCTAGCAATGAACTGATCCCCCAACATTCATGTTCCTCACCCGCTTCCCTTGACCTGCGTCTTTATCTGGGCGGCAGGGCCGTGCTGGCACTAAAAAACTTGCCAGACGAAATCTTGTATACAGTCCCATCAGCCACACAGGTTTTGTAGGCTAAAGTAGGTAGAGGATGTTGGTGGATGGGACGGCCCCCATTGGTTACACAGGTTTACTGCAGGTTTGCTATCTATTCCACATCTACCTTCTGAATGCTTCCAATCCTTTACCCCGAATCGCTGACAACTTTGCCTCAATTTTTTAATCCTACAAGCCTACAAGCCTTAATTATTGGTATTGCTGATCGTGCCCAGTGCCCAGCCGATTGGGTCATATTTTTGCTTATGCCTTCCCAAGTGCCATTGGCGAACTGAGGTCCGTGATACCACTCGCGCGCGCGCGAAGCCGAAGTCAGACAGGGCCTGGGGGTTGGCTTTGTTAACGGTCTGCTAGTCAAACAACACAACACTAATTTAGCCATGGCGGCGGGGCCCAAATTGTTTCGCACAGTGCGGCTACTTGGCTCTTCAGCACAGCAGCCTGAAGGGTTTAAGTGGCAGCTGCGAAAGGCTGCGTTAAAAGAGTGAAGAACTGTAGGTTCACCGGCCTGGTTGAGCAGCCGCCGAGCAGCAGCTGGTCCCAACTCTTTTGTCAAGACTGTACGAACCAGTGGCGGCACGCAGAGAGGCATATGTGGCGTACGCGAGTCGGAAATGGCCCGTCAGGAACTGCCTGCTTTGGACCAGCACTTTCGAACAACCGGCGAGAAATATGCAGCGTGGGCCATGGGACCTAAAACAAGCCCTATACTGCCAGCCTGTCACTCTTCATTACTGCCCCTTCCATCACGCACGCGTAATCCAAGAAGTGTGCAGAAGGACACAACTCCACATGAAGCCCCTCTCTCATCGCTTGCAAATCTCCTCCTGCGCAGTGGCGCGGCCTCCTGAAGCTGAGCTGGGTTGACTAACTTGCCATCCTCCGCAACAAAAGGAAGCTTGCAGTCAAGGCTGCATGGCAGGGTCAGTTGGCAGTGATGCCTTTGTGAAACTTGTCGAGAAAGTTTCAAGGAACTTAGGCGATTTTCTCATGCTGCTCCTCTTGCTTGTCTGCCTTCCTTGCTTTCTTCTCAGGCTTCTCAGGTGCCTTTTTCGGGTCATGCTCAGTGAAGTCAAATGGGGCTGGCTTCACCAACCACTGGTGAAAGGCCAGAGCTGCCAACACACATACATCGACATCGGGATGGAGTTTGTGTTCTTTGGGCACGGGATAGCTGCAGCCCTCCAAATCTCACAAAATCTACACAAAGACCCTTTGAGCGCACGCTGCCTCATGGGCGCGCAAAAGGTGCTAAACAACATGTTTGACCCCCTTTAAGCGGCCACTGCCTCAACATCGACTAAAGTCAATTTCTAACTTTGTTTGAAAACACGGGAAATGACATGGCTGTTTAAAAAATGCTAACTTACTAGCTGATCAAAGGGGATCATGGTATCCAAAAAGGTGGTCAAACATTTTTGTTTGACCCCTGTTAGGCCGTGTTGCAACTCACGTCGGTCAAAGGGGACCAAATCTTGAAGATTCTTGCGCGCCTGCCAGCTTAGAAGCTTTGCGCAGCGGCCAAGCTTGAGGGTGGGCATGGCATCCGGTGAAGTTGGCAAGGAAAGGCTACTGTCTTGGATGAACTTGCGAGGCGGCATCTGGCCAACAAACAAAAATACATGAGACTGTCACCGTCCGACCATTATACATCATGGAGAGCTACCAAATGAGGCTCATTTTGGAACACACGATTCGGTTCATTTTGGAACACACAGAATTTGCCCGCTCAAGCTCATTCTGGAACACACGATTCCGCTTCTTTTTGGAACACAATCATTTTGCACAACAGGAAACCAAACGATTGGTCAAAATTGCACAAAATCCGGCACGTGCATAGTTGAATGCAACATCAACCTCTTCCAATCCCAGTTGCCCAAGCCAGAAAACGACACACGCACTTCCAAGTTTCGTCTAGCACGTTTCGTTCGGAAAGCCCTACAAACAGAGCCCTATTTCGTCCAGCGCCTTCAACAGCCATGTATGGAGTCTCGGAAGCTTGCGACGATTTTTTCAGCTGGCAGCATTTTTCAGCTCCTTTTTTCAGCTGGAAAAAAACACGCCAGCCTTCTCCGGCGACGCTTTTGGCTTCGTCCGTTCCAATGTGGTCTAAGAATACCCACGGCTGGTCTGGCTGAGTCAGGCGCAACGCCGAATTTGCACTTGCTTATGATACGTGCGATACCTCCACATCAGGAAGCTGCGCCCTGCAAGCTCATATACTCAGACAGGAAAAGCGACAGGAGGCCGAACCCACTGAACACTGTGCATGAAAGCACCGCGCAAATAAATGGCACCACCGTCTCAATGCCAGCGCACAAATAGGACAGCTCCAATGTACTGTTGTCCAGGACCAGGTGCACACGCACCGCTTCATGGTCTGGAAGGTTGAGAACGCCTCAATCTTCTTGGCCTCGTTGCTTGACCCCTTCAAAGGCGCACCTGTCCCGTAACACTTTCTGCTTGCGGAGCGCAATCTGGCAAGGACGTACCCTAAGAAGAACACGCGGGCGGGCAGTCTCCTCATGTTCGTGAATGTAGCCAGACCTACTTGGTGGATGGCTTTACATGTTGTTAGAACATATGTTAAAACCTAGGTATATATAAGGCGGTTATAAAAACTTGCAAGAAGAGGAGCAAAACCAAGTTTTGTAGATGAGCGGTTGGCTTTTATAAGTTTTCTAATTTTGTTGTGGGAGTGAGTAAGTTTTATAACTTTATATGCTTGAAAAGAAGCTTAGAGAACTTATAACTAACTTAGAAAAGTGAACTTTTTCATGAGACTTTGAGACTTTGTGTGTTTCAATACACAGCTGTTTTGATCGTGTTCACGAGGAACACCAAGAGAGCTTTTCAAGCGTCAAAAGACAGAGATTGGAGACACCGGCTCGTTGAGCCGCCAAATTGATGATATAATTGAGTTAGCTTTCATTCTGACTAATGAATGGAAGCGCCCCTGTGGGTCGCTTTGTTGAAGCATGTTCTACATATACTACAGGTTGAACAATTTGGTTGATGGGTTTGTACGAGCCGAAGGCAAACTCTACAACATGGGGACGGTTGTGTTGGATGACACTGGCTTGAAGGAGAAGCCGGAGAGCAAAACCAATGCCCAAAAAGAACAAGAAAGGAAAGAAGAACAAGTAGTGGGCGTGTTTTCCACCCTAGGTTTTTGAACACAGCAGAGCTACATTCACTAATTACTGATTGTGTGTTGGCAACGTTTCACTTTCTTGGCCAACAAATGTTTACCAGCTACAGCATGGTCATAGTTTGTGCGTGTATGAGTTGAACCAAACCTCCCCAAAAAAGGTTGAACTCTCTCCCGGGCCCAATAGGCCGCACAGGAATCAATATATAGCATTCAGTCTTGCTTAATGGGGCGGCACATGACATGATTCAATATCGAATGCGAACTCATATACAATCGTAGCAAGCTGTTTTTGAAGTTCATGTTGACGTATCCCTTGGGTACTTCTAGTGAGGCTTGCAAGTCCATGTAGCAGTGAAGCACTTTCACACCCTGTAAGCTTTAAGCTTTTCATTGCAGTTCCCACCATTGAGATCCCCAAAAACACCAAACACTTGTCTGCAAAGATGTTTTTCACACAAAAAAGGAAACATTCTTTGGGCTACTTGTCAAACTTTATCAAACAACCGAAAATGTAGTGTCTGGAAAAGTCTCGAGAACTTATAAAAGCTACAAGTTTAATGAATTAAACTTCGCTAAGTTATGCACTAATTTAAAAACTGCTGGCTTGTAACTTCTATAGCTGAATTTATAAGTCTCTATAAGTTTTTGAAAAACCATAGGTAACTTTTGAACTCCATAAGCCAAAGCCATCCACCAAGTACCTGCCTGAATTGCCGGACTTTCCAGAACGACCGCTAGCGCGAGTTCCAGAACGAGATGGCACTGCGGGCCGCTTCATAGTGTTTCAGTGGCGGGAGGTTGGGGCTTGGAGAAACAGTCCACTGTCACCTGGAGAAACAATCCAAAGCGTGTACAGAGGACATGCCGTGGTGTGCTGCGAACTTCCTAAGGATACATGCAGATGCTCTTGGTGCAGGACCTGGTAGCTTTCGGGGAAAGTTGACCCAAGGAGATTTGATCAAACCAGCATCATGCGGTTCCAAAGGCATCGAACTGTTTGGGGGCTCAACTTAAACCCACATGTGCAGATCTGAATTTAGAAAAACTCCAAGGAGTGATTCATAGAAACGAACAGACAGTACCACATGAGGGAGGTAGTTTATTTTTACAGCAAACATGTAGAAAAGGCAAGTTTTGGTGTTTGTGTGTGTGGGTGCATGTGTGCGTCATTCGGTTTGCTTGGGTGCTTCAGGATGTTGTGTTGGGTTTCGGAGGGTGGAGGGTTGGTTAAGGGTTCTTGCTTAATTGGACTTCTTGGAGGTTGTGTCACATCTTGCGCGAAGGGGGCTGGTTGCATTGCGCAGACTGGTCTGTTCCTGTTTCTTTCAATATATTTCAAGCTTCAATGACTTGTTGTTGCAGCGTTGAGACTTGGGGCTCCATCACGGGGACAGAATCAGAAGGCACTCCCCATTGCTCCACTATCTCGACCTGCCTAACGAGCAAGCGCAGACTTGCGTGCTTCTCACTCTGACAACCCCTCGAATCCAACTAGAAGCTAACCAAACACAGTGTCAAGGTTATGAAACCAAATGCCCAACATGGCCCATCGCGGTTGTTTGTTCGAATTCGTCCCGGTCATGAGAGTGGTTGAGTGGATGGAACATCAACCAAGACCCTCCGCCACCCATCACACAGCCCATACTGCCCACAATCTGCATTAATGTATCTATACATATCTATACATAA